TATCCACAATGGGCAATCAGCAGCTATTCAGAGATTTAATTAACAGTGAGAATTTTTTAAATCATGGGAAAATAGGACTTTAAAGTTGGATGACATTATTTTACTAACATTGCCCCTTAGAAAAATGGGAGTTATTATAGCAAAGAAAAGGGAAGTTTTTATTTACTGAACTTTAACTATAAATTTAAAATTTTAAATGAAATAGGCAGGGATAAACTGGAAGAGCCTTTTGTGCCAATAAAAGAAGCTATTGTAGCCTCTAGAAACATTTTTTTTTTAAGGAAGACTATTGACTTGTTTAGGCTGGCAAACCAGCTTCGCTCCTATTTGTAAAAAGCAATCTGGCTTTATTTACTCCTGTACTGGTTCCACTGAGACGAAACTTCTGTAATATAGACATGGGACTGTCTATAAAAACACTCAGCTAGTCTAAAACATAACAACCAGTATACTAATACAAGCCAGATGGATTGCTGAAAACCGCAGATGTCTTAAACATTCTATAAAAATACTAGATGGACTGTTACTATTACACTAATCCTGCACGTTGCACTAAATAGCAATCTGTTTCTGGGCTCAGTGTAAAGCTGATGGTTGTGATCTTATATAAAAATACCTGACCAAAAGGCAATGTAAAGTCTGGTATTAATTACTTAATCTTAATTATTATAACATTCCATTTTGAGGACCGAATAATTGAAATTAATTTTTCAAATACATTTTAATTTACGCACCATAATGCTGCTAATTGTTTTTCTTCTGGTGGTGTACTGGGACCTGAGTGGGTTTTTAGTCTCACAGCATATCTGCAGAAGATTGAGAACAAAGTCAGCAAAGCAAGCAAAAAAAGGATGAACATGAAACATTTTTATAGCTCAGTGGGACTTACATTTACCTAAGGGTACATAGGATTGCAACCTTTACTTGTCACAGCTAATTGATTTCATTATCATCCCCCCCCTCGTTTTCCTTTCAGTGGGAACTCTTCAAAACTATGGCTGGATCTGTCTGCCTGCCAGCTTTAACGAAGTATAAGGCCTTTTCCCTCATGAAGCTTAGATGAATAACCCGACACTGTTTAGTCTTCTTTTTCTTGTCTGTGAAACTCTTATCTTCCTGCTTTTTTTCCTGTTAATGTCACCAGATTTGATCATTTCTTTCAGTTAGCTCCAATTCTCAAAGTGCCCTACCACTGATTAATTATAATGATTTATAATTATCATAATTTACAGTATTTTGCATGACACTTTACTAGATGTTCCCACACTTTCATTCACTTCAAAGGCTTTTCAAAGCTCAGATGAGGTTCAAATCCCCCTTCCACATTTAACTTCCTTTTATTACAATGTTTCATCTCATTTATACCCCTCCTTGCTTTGAACTCCAAATCTGTATCCTTGTACATTTTTGATGACAGTCCAAATGTGAAATATTTTTCTGATGAACAGTTTTGTGGCTTCTCATTTCACATCTTCTAAACACACAAATAAATGGACAAAACTTCTAAAGATCAGTTCTTACAGATTTTTGTTGTCTGTTTTCATATATTTGTTAGATTTTCTAGTAGTATGTATGTATGTATGTATGTATGTATGTATGTATTTATTTATTTATTTAAACAATTTTAAGAATTTACACGGCCACAGGCCACCCATCTGACAGCAGTGGCTCAAGGTGAGGAATAGAGATTTAAAACTGAAAAATAACCCAACGTGATTTGTTAAAATAAACTGCTCAGAGTCCTGTTGGATTGGACCACCATTTTTTTTCTTCCTAGCATTTTTCCCGCAGGTGCAGGGTCTGCTTTTTTGTTGCTTGGATTGGACCAGCATATTGAGTGAAAATATGCCATCATGTCAGTGTTATCTTAGTGACCACAGAGTTATAAGGCCCAGTAAATAAAAATAAAATAAAAAATAAATGACAATATTGTATTTTACTTTATTTGATATATTGTTTTATTATAGAATTACGTTCACAGAGCATCTTTTTCAAAGAATATAGCACACAAGGTGATTTTTCCTTCTGTCAGCACAGAGACAGTATCCAATAATATTATTTTACCTTTACTGTCTTGTGGCCACACTGGAGCAGAAGAAGGATGGAGGTGAGGAAGCCTCCCTAATTCTATCTGTAGTGTCTTTGTAAGATCACTGTTCTCCCCTCCCCAGAGCATTAAAAGAAAAATGTAAGGGTTGACAAATGTTAAATAAACACTTTCATAAACAGATAAGTTACAAGGTACTTCATTATCTGCAAAGAGGACCAACTCCTCACCATGTTGCAGGAAAGTTGCTAAGAAGAAATAGAGAAAACCTCTGCTCGGTCATTTTTCAGGGGATAAATGAATTCACTATGAGTAATAATTCATTTGCTGAAATTCCTACAGCCCTATCCCTCTGAGCTCAATAAACATGAAGGGTGTATTAGATTCTACTTGGAAGAGACCTTTTGGCTGAGGCAGCTGCCAAAGTCTAACAAAAAAATGCAGAAAGTGAGAATCTCTCAGCCATTTTTGCAGTGGATGGGCTTCCTGTAAAGATGGCCACTCCCTTTATAGGACCCTAGTTATTCACTGCTGACTTTTGGAGTGAGTATTGATCCCAAAGCGGCAATAGACCAAGAAACACAGCCTTAGTGTCTCTACTTCAATAACAGGTAGAAATAAGTGGGTTGTAGAAAGCAACTTCATTTCAAATCCAAGTGAGGCTCAAAATGCATCTCAACTTACTGAAAACGAGAACCCACATTTTCATATCATTTTTATTAGAATTTTTTACATGAATAAAAGATAAACATGAAAAAATATATGAAGAAAAGAAAAAGATAAAAGAAAACGTGCAAGAAACAGTACAGATAGAAAAAAGAAAAAAGATATTTAAAGGTATTCTGATCTTCTTTACAGCAGTTACAAACAAATTATTGCCTCTCCTTCCCCTTTAAGATTATATTCCATAATTCCCTTCTTCCCATATTTAACCCTTTTTAATCCGCAAATCCAAAAATCACCAACTCATTTTTTTCCCATTTTCAGCAGAAAGTCCATAAAGGGTTTCCAGTCTCTTATAAAAGTACTTATTGTTTTATCTCTGATCAAAGTGGTCAATTTTGCCATTTCTGCAAATTCTGCCATCTTCACAATCCACTCCTCCACTGTGGTTATTTCAGTAATTTTCCATCTTTGTGCATGTAGTAGCCTTGCTGCAGTTACCATATACAAAACCAATCTCCCTAAATCTTTTCTAATTGACTCTCCATAAGTCCCAATAAGAAAAGTTCTGGTTTCATCTGAATATTAATTTTTAAAATTCTTTGCATCATCATGTGTATTTGTATCCAGTATTTTTTCATTTTTTCACAAGTCCACCACACATGGTAAAGTGTCCCTTCGTTCTTTTCACATTTCCAGCATTGATTAGAGGTACGTTTATGCATCTTAGGTAATTTCTCTGGTGACATATGCCAATGGTACATCGTATTATAGAAGTTCTCTCTTAAATTAATATGACTCCAGAAAAATTATCCAGAATGTATAAGGGTACTTCAAATTTATGTTGGAAACCTGGGCAACATTGATTGATTGATTGATTGATTGATTGATTGATTTATACATAGACTTATCCCCGCCCATCTCCCCGCAATGGGGGACTCTGGGTGGTTTACATCAAGTTAAAACAATCAATACATGATTAAAATTTATAAAAAGACAAACACATCTACACATCTACACATATGGAAAGAAGAG